TCTACAAGGAAATAAAAAAAAAACAAATTTCCACTAGTGTGACCCACGTGACACATTTTCTCTTAGCATGTCATCATCCATATTTTATCCACCACTCCTCGAAAAAGTTCAATATTAAACGTAAATTACTCTATAAAATCGTTATTGCTCAGACAAACCATAATTTTTATAGCCTTTAATTTTGTTGGTTACAGAGCTATTGAATATAAAATAAGACCTCTCCTGCCACAATTCATTGATAGTTCTCTCTTACGTTTTATCATATATTGCCTATAACCAATAGAAACTCAAGGTTTTCATCTATCAAATAACTTATTGTATAATGTTATCTTGTGAACAGTTAGATGTCAATTTCACTCAGAGTACTAACATTGTTCCTGTGGGAAAATTAACAACAAGCTTGGACGAATTTGTCTACTTTTCGCACGTTATTAGTCTATATTCTTTGATGCATTATTTAAGTAAATAAAAATTATTAAGTGCATTATCATCATTAGTATAAAAAAGTTAAGGTTAAGTACTTTATTTCTAGTTTTTCATATTTATTATTATAAAAGAAACAAAAATCTAAAAATAGGGATCCTTTTAGGTTTGTTAAGATTAGATTAGGTAAAATAAATAATAATAATATTATAATAAAAATGTTTCATGAGGCACATGTGTGAGCAGCTCATGGGTAATGTAATTCAATAGCATAACATGACCAGCACATTCTCCAAGTGATTTACAATTTTTTATGGCATGGAAAGTAGTGAGACACAGTTCAAAGGACAATAAAACAATAAATTTTAATTACAAACAGATGCATACTGTTATGAACTTAGAGCTACTTAGGATAAACGAATGTAATTTCATGTTACAAGTTGAAGTCATTCTAGAAAGAAAAAGGTTAATTTAGGTTTATTTTGATTTTTTGGTGGTTACCAGATTGGTTGAATTGACCAATCCCATTTTGAAATAGAGTTGAGAAAATAACAGATAAACTATAAAGTTTTACTGAAAAAAAAAACGTTTGAAATGCATTTAGAAGGTTTTAGGGATTACCCAAAGGAAATTTGAGATTTTTGAGATGATGAAAAGTATTTTTAATTTTAACATGACAATTACTTTGTACATGGACTATTCAAAACAAATACTTTGCTAAAAATATTATTTTTTGTATGTGAAAGACATAATATTAACTGAAAGATGGCAAAATTTTGTGAAGATATACACACTATGTTGAAAATTAGAAGTATTAAATCTATAAAGACTTCAAATGAGTACAAACAGGTCACGTGGTCGGTCTTAATATGGTAAGATTGTTTGGCTGGAGACCACAGACCTGAAGCTTTCTGCTGATTGACCCATTCCCCAGCCCTAAAGGGAAGGGTCTGTGAAGATGTGCAAATCTGGACAAGGAGGAAGCAGAACATCTACTGATGTGTGAGCTCTATCCAACCACCAATGCAGATCATCGACAAGGGAAATATGAGCCTCTAATGGATCCCACGCAAAGTTCCATTGCTTTGTGTATAGCCCCCTCATGAGCAGTAATAGAGGGAGCAGTAAGGGTGTGAAGAAATGAAAGCTCCATTGAATGGAGTCATAGAAGAGAAGGTTGGGCCCGAATGAGATAAGTGTTGAAAAAGACACCCAAGTGGACAAGATATTGAGTAGGTATAAGGAAGTACTTCAACTTGATTAACCAAACCATATGAGCTGCCTCCAGGAGGAGCAAATGAGTGTGATAAGCAAACTCCCATTTGGAATGAACTAACATAAGCCAGTCTTCAATGTAACGTTCTAAGCGCAACCCCGAGTATGCAAATATCGGACAAAAGACACACAGGCCAAAGAGCAGGGCAAAAAATTGATAATCTACCCTAGGATGAACAAACCGAAGATAGCACCTCGACATGTGAGATATTGGAATATACAGATAAGCATTCGTAATGTCTATCTTGGTCATACATAAACCTGAAAAAAAAGCCCACCTGAGGGTGAGAAAAGACTCCATGGTAAATCAGGGCAGAACCAAAAATTGATTGAGGTAGGACAACTCGATCACAGACCACCAGTCCCCTGTTTTCTTGGGTACCACAAACAGACTGGAATAAAAACTTGGAGAAGAATGAGATACAGGTTCTATGTCTTGTTGGAAGAGAAGATTTTGTACCACCTCAGACAGATATAACAGTAGGATCCCAAGACAATGGAGGAGAGGAAAGAAAGTGGATGACAAGTCTCTCGGATAATACCAGAATAACCCACAGATCTGGGGTGAAAACTCACAATAGAGGAAGAAAATCGGTCAAGCAAGCCCCCACTGGACCAGAACCCACCAGTTAGTCACTGGTACTGTTGGCGACATGTCCATCTACGTCAAATAATATAACATAAGGAGGAACTCCTGAAAGTAGGAACTGGAAAGAGCTGGGAAGGAGCAGGATGGGAAACAGTAATAGGGGCTTGTCTAGACTCTGAATGAGACAAACAATCCACCAAATATGAAAGGGTCGATTGCTGTCTCACTGATTCAACACAGGATTCCAAAGTTTAAGGAATATTTTGAAAGATAGACCAATGGAGAAAAGGGGCCATACACAAGTCCCGGAAATAAGTAATTGGTAAACAAACTTGGGACAATACAGTGTCCCTCCCCAGAAGACCCCAACAACAGACAACGCATGTCTGTATGGAAAGCACTGAAGAAGACAAACATTTCAATGTGAAGGTAGTCACAGAGAGGTTATCTTTCAAATAACATTCAGGATCTTGGTAGAGCACTTTGGAAAGTAGGTTGATAGTAGCCAAATACCATAGGAGAGCTGATAGGGTAAGACAAAGGCAAGAAAAATGGGTATTAGATAAATGAACACAGGCAAAATCAATTCCAACTGTTGAGAATCAAGAAACGGAAATTCAGCCTCATGGTAGGCTAAAGCAAACTGATCCGAAGCCCATGAAGGGCGAGGCATGCCAACACCCTCAATTATCTGAGAGTATATGCTCTGCATGAACCCTAATATCTGGGCAAGGGGGGGGGAACACAAAATACTGTGAGGAGGGGTATGGTGTAACAAAGAAGGAATGGGATTATAAGAAATCGGGGAAACAGATAAAATAGTACACTCCTGGGAAATCATATCTAAAAAAAGCCATATTAGGCCTTGCTAATTCTGCAGTAGAGGCATAGGAAGGCATGGCAAATCAGGTGGAGGAAAAATGCAGTCAAATTCCTCATCAACCCGAATAGGTTTAGCATGTTCAGGAAGAATATTGGCACCATCTGGAGAAGCAGGTTGACTATTATAACGATCAATCTCTTGGCAGATGAGAGTCAATAATTCCATAGCCGAGTTACTCCCATCTGCAGCATGTGTAAGTGTGCTGGTAGAAGGTATTACCTCTTTAATGGTAATTTGGACTTATTGTTAACAATGAATGATCAAACACCACACACCCTATATTTTCCTGAAGAACAGGGAACTATTTGAAAGTGCTCAGGTGTTGGGTCTCTTTAAAAACCAAACACCAAAGTGTTAGAATAAAATAAAATAAAATTGGGAAAAAATAAGTTAAATTAAACTTTTGTAAAACTGAAAAGAACAATTTTATGTTGGAATGCATTTTTAAAAAAAATGCACTAAGTTTAAAAAAGAAATGACTGAAGAGCACAATATAAAATGTCTTGACATGAATACTGCCAAATGAGAAGTGATAGTTCAGTAGAATCAAATATAATGAGTCACATGCAGTTGAACCATGTTGATCATAGTGTACATGGAACCTCAAGGCTTGGGGCATGGGAAAAAATTTTGTATATAGAAGGGCAGCACTGAATGAGAATAGCTATTTATGTGAGTGAAAGTAATGTACTGTATCAGAGAAAACATTCTTTAAAACTTTATTAAAACCTCTATAACATTATGAATTTAAAAAGAAAATGATAAACTTGTGTATGCTATTCTAAAAAGTAAGTAAAGATGAACTATACCAGTTATTCCCTGATCCTGAAACATCAGTAATAAGTTGTCTACTGTCAAAAACATCTCGTATAGGTCCTCGAAGTAGCTGACTGATTACCCCTTCTTCCATATCAATTAAAATGGCCTTTTACAGAATTAATCATTTTAGAATTTACTTCAAAACTGCAAGTGGTTGAATTTAAATTGAAGGTTTTTAAACAACTTAATAACGTTCTTGAAGATATAAATATACATGCTAAGTTCATATCTTTAAATCAAGACATTTAACAGTAAAGTATTTTCGTATATGAAATTTACACAGTTATCTCAAACAGTGCTCCAGATAAGTTTTTCACAGAATGAGTACTTTACTCCTCAAAATAAACTGCAATGCTGAAAACATGCATATTTTTGGGTTTCAGCAATTTTTGTTGTTGTTGAACACCTGACATTTTGGTGCTGTTTTACTGTGTGCTTTCTCTTCTTATTGTAGTACTAACATCCTATTAACAACCACACAAGACAAATACAGTATATATTCAATACAGTAAGCATTTTGTTGACATCAATCGAGAAATTTACATTGGTATAAGTTTCAATTAAATGGTAATCCCAAACTATAGATAATCATCAGTCCATAATGTATATCATTTATCCATTCATCCCAACATCAAATTTACCATAGAACACGAAAACAATAAACAGTTATCTTTTCTTAGCCTCAACATTATTAGATCGGACACATGGTTTATAACCAAAATTCACTGTAAGAATACACACACCGGCCTCTACATCCCCTGGAATTCCGTTCATGACACCACACAAAAAAATCAATATATTCAAAAACCTCATAAACACAGTCACAAGACTCTGTTCAACAGACTACATAAATGAAGAAATCAACCACATAAAGAATTCCTTCATTCACACCAATAAATTCCCACCAGGTATTGTTGAAAAACTCTCCAACATTCTCCACAATAAAACTCAACTCATGAACAAAATTGATACTAAGAAACCAAACAACAGAACATTACACAGCAGTTTACCTTTTGTCCCTGAAACCAGCTCAAGAATTATCCACACTTGGACAAAACTAGCCATTAAACACAATATTCCTGTCAACGTCAAATTCTCTCAAAAACCCGGCCCGAAATTAAAATCCTCACCAAACAAAAATTATTTAGAATCACACAATACCAATGTCATTTACAAAATAACATGCAATAACTGCCCAGAATTCTACATCAGAAAAACAGGAAGAAAATTGGAAACCAGATTCACAGAACAAAATAAAAAACCATTGCATGTTTTCCAACATTGCAACTCAAAAAACCATAATATATCTATTAAAAACACAGTCATTTTAAACATAAACAAACAAAAAATCAAGG